TCCTCAGACATCAAAAGGAAGGTAAGTATGAAATAGTATGCTTTAGGATCCATATACCATATATCCTCTAAAGTTGATGCTTTGTTTAAAAAAGTTGAAAGCTTGAGTATTAATTCTTTGGCGTTGACTTCAATTTCATGTGAGATATGTGGCTATGTGGGTCATTCTGCACTTCAATGTCAATTAGGAAACCCCCCATCCATTGATACTTCTGGTAATGAGCAAGTTAACTATGTTAATAACTTTAATCAGAAGGGAGACCCATTCTCCAACACTTATAATCCGGGGTGGAGGAATCATCCTAATTTTTCTTATAGAAACCCACCTGGAAATTCCATGCCCGCATCTAATTTTGGTCCACCTGGTTTTCGTGCTCCTCAATCCAATTTCCCTTCTCAAAAGTCAAATTTGAAAAATATGATGGAGAAGTTTGTGACGACTCAATCAAAATTGAATGAAGAGTTTAAGCAGCAACAACAAACCACGAATGAGGTGGTGAAACAATTGGCCTCTAAGATGGATTCCCTAGCTACGCATAACAAGATGTTAGAGACACAAATCACCCAATTGGCACAAAATGTTAGCTCTTCCTCTAGGCCTTCAGGCATGCTACCTGGACAACCCGAGACAAATCCCAGGAGTCATGTGAATGCTATAACTCTTAGAAGTGGAAAACAATATGAGGGACCCAAGATGAAGGAAAATGATGGGGTGGATGGTCATCATGAAGAAAAAAATGAAAATGTGATAGATGTGGATAATGAGACCCAAACGCAAGAAGAAGAAAAAGTTGAAAAATATGTGGCCCCCGCTCCTTACAAGCCTCCTCTACCATTTCCCCAAAGGTTAGCTAAGGCTAAGTTAGAAAAGCAGTTCGGAAAATTCTTGGAGATTTTAAAAAAATTGCACATCAATATCCCGTTCACTGAAGCTATCTCTCAAATGCCTTCATATGCTAAGTTCTTGAAAGAGATCCTATCCAATAAAAGGAAGTTGGAAGAATACGAGACTGTGGCCCTTACTGAGGAGTGTAGTGCTATCATCCAGAATAAGCTGCCTCCTAAGCTTAAGGATCCAGGTTCATTTTCTATTCCTTGTGTTATTGGTAATGTCTCTATTAACCGTGCTTTGTGTGATTTAGGTGCAAGCGTAAGTTTGATGCCAATGTCCATCTATAAGAAGCTTGGCATAGGAGATTTGAAGCCAACCACGATATCACTCCAACTGGCGGATCGATCGGTAAAATATCCGGTAGGTATACTTGAAGATGTACCTATCCAGGTCGGTAAGTTCTTTATCCCGGTTGATTTCGTTATTTTAGAAATGGAAGAAGATTCTAACATCCCAATTATATTAGGAAGACCCTTCCTTGCTACTGCAGGTGCTATAATTGATGTTAAAAATGGAAGTCTCTCCCTAAATATTGGAAGGGAGAAGGTAGAATTTGATTTGAGCAATGCTATGAAACCCCCTCTAACTGATAAAGTTTGTTACAGGGTCGACGTGATTGACAAGTCTACACATGAGCAACTTGCAAACCATTACTCAGCTGATCCACTTGAAAAGTGTTTGGTAAGTGACGATTCAATAAATGATGAAGACCCGGAGGTAACCGTGTATGCTCAATCTTTAGAATCAACATCAACTGCTCCATTTCAAAATGCAAAGTTTGAAAGTCTAAAGTTAAAGTCAAAAGGTTCTACTTGTGAAGAGGATAAAACACTCATAGGCATGACACCGTTCAAGTTGGTGTATGGTAAATCATGTCATCTCCCAGTTGAGTTAGAGCACAAGGCGTATTGGGCTATCAAACTCCTCAATTTTGATATGAAGACCGCAGGTGAGAAAAGAAAGCTTCAACTTCATGAGCTAGATGAGCTGCGTTTGGATTCGTATGAGAATGCTCGTATCTATAAAGAAAGGACTAAACGATGGCACGACAAGAATATTCTTCGAAGAGAGTTTAATCAAGGAGATATGATGCTACTTTTCAACTCTCGTTTGAAGCCTTTTCCGGGCAAGCTCAAATCTCGGTGGTCTAGACCTTTTCAAGTACGTGAGGTTTTTCCTAGTGGAGTTGTTGAAGTTTGGAGTGAAACAACGGGAGCTTTCAAGGTGAATGGGCGTTGAAGTTTGGAGTGAAACAACGGGAGCTTTCAAGGTGAATGGGCAACGATTGAAGCACTATATTGTAGGTGAACAAAACGAGAAAGGGGTCACTTATACCCTTTCCGATCCCCCTTCGTCGAAGAATTGAGCGCAAAAGGGGTCGAGCTCATGACCATAAACGAGCGCTTCTTGGGAGGCAACCCAAGTTTTCATTCATTTTTTTATCTTATTTGATTTCATTTTAATTTCATTTTTTTTAATTTTTTTTAATTTTATTTTTTGGCAATTGGATTGACACAAATTTAACTTATAGCATTTTCAATCATGCAGGTGAGAAGAAGGGAGAACATGGCATATCAAAAAAAAAAAAAACTGCAGAAAAAAGGAGTTAAAGATGGAGTGGCTGAGCCTACCAGGGGAACCAACTCTTTCCATCACCCTGATTGGTCAGCGGAATTACCAGCTATCCATATTTCTCTTGCCTCTCTTACTAACCGTGTAGGTGCCATCAAGCAAGAGCAACAACGTCAAGGACAACTACTGGACTCTATACACTACATGATGCAGTCTTTTCATGAGCGGCAGCTCCGACAGGATGCCTCCGCACCACCTCCTTCTGACTAGTGAGTTTGTATGTCCTCTGCATCCTTGCACTAATTTCTATCTTTTTACATTGAGGACAATGTCGATCTTAAGCTTGGGGGTGTGGGTTGTTCATGCATTGATTGCATGTCTATAATTGCCTATTTTTCTTTTATTTTAGTTTTTCTTTTGCTTTGTTTCTTAATTCAAAAAAAAAAAAAAATTAGGGAAATGATCTCCTGATGATGACATGAATGCTTAACCTTTATCGATCGTTGAACTAGATAGATGCTCATTAATTGGGACTTGACAACTTCTTATACCATCTTTCAACTGATTCTCAAAGGCTTTTGATTACAAGTTAACAATATGGGAGAACCGGACTTGAATGTTCTCTTGTCTTATAGGTGTAGGGTGAATATTTGATTTCCCGAAAAAGGGAGTGGTTGTTTGTATTAATAAGAAGGCTTATTACAAACTAACAAATCAAATGATTACGACAGAAGCAGAGGGAATGCCCTCTTTGTTTTGTGTGGGGACTTTAGGTGGCTATAGGATGCTTCGCTCGATGCTCGTGTCGAGTCTGCTTCCCTTGGACCGTTCGATCGAGGTTGCTGGGGAGCTTTAGTATGCAGTAGAAGCTCGAGTTGATAAAGTTCGGATCTTCTAGTTCGCCGGCGATCAGGGCTCAGAACTTGCTAACAGCTTGGTCTCAACTCTTTTTCTCCAAGTTTTGCGACCTCCTCTCCAGTGTGCTGGAAGGGGCTTTTAAATGGAAGAATGACAGCTTGACTCCTCCTTGAATTGTGGGATGTGACCACATCTTCTTCAGAGACGTCTAGCTGCTCCTCGATACCATGAATGGTCATTCCAGGGATTGTGCTTTATGTCCTGTCACCTACGATGGGAAGGCCCATTCTTGTATATGAGGCAACGGCCGTCTGTTATCCGAGTGGACCTGACCGACATTAATGAATCGCATTTATGGGTTCGCAGATCGATGAAGTGTCTGTCCGATCACTCGTACTGTGCGTGACCGCCCGGC